ATGTTTATTAAGTGCCTACTATGTGCCAGGCATTGTGTTAAAAGCTGAGGAAAAAAAAAGAGGCAAAAAAAAAATCCCTGCCCTCAAGGAGCTTCCAATCTAATGGGAAAGACAATATGCAAGCAAATATGTACAGAGTGAGCTGTGTACAGGATAAATAGGAAATAACTAACAGAAGGAAGGTATTGGAATTGAGAGGAGCTGGGGAAGGTTTCCTGTTGAAGGGGGGATTTTAGATGGGACTTAAAGGAAGCCAGGGAAGTCAGTAGTCAGAGTAAAGGAGAGAGAGCACTTCAGACATGGAGGACAGCTGGAGAAAATGCCCAGAGGCAAGGGATGCAGTGTCTTATTCATGGAACAGCCAGGAGGCCAATACCACTGGATGGAAGATTATAGATTGTAATGGAAGGCGTAAAAAGACTGGAAAGGGAGGAGGGGGCTGTCATCTGTCCTGAGAAAATGTGAGCTCCTCAAGGGGAGGGGGTTCTTCCATTTTAATGTCTGAGTCCTCACAGCCCAGCAGAGTGCCCAGCATGTAGTAGGTAATTAATAATTGCTTTCCTCAATAGATTGGATTGATGCAATTTAACATATACTTACTCTAGGCCAAGCACTTACACTAGGCCCTAGGAATACAAAAGAGAAACCGCTCCTGCCCTCAAGGAGTTTATAATCTCTCTTGATTATTTTCAATTTATTCTGGTGATAGCTTTTTTTTTTTTTAACATAGCTGTTTGCATGTTATCTCTCCCATTAGGTCATGAGCTCCTTGAGGATAAGGACTGTCTTTTCCCTTTCTTTGTATTTCAGCACCTGGCACACAGTAGGTGCTTAATAAATGCTTATTGTGCACTGATTTCCTGCTAGGGGAATATAGTAGAATGTAAACTCCTTGAGGGCAGGGACAATTTCATCATTCTTTACATCTCCAGAGATTGGCACAGTGCCAGGCACATAGTAGGTATTTAATAAATGGTTGTTGGGTAGAATTGAGTTGAATAAGGTGAGAAAGTTGAATTCTATCATGAGTGGGTTACCTTTCTGGATGGCTATAAATCCCTGATGAAACTTGCTTGGGGTGTTATGACGTAGAAACAGTTGGGGTAGCAGGAATAGCAATAGATTTGGACTCAGTGAAGTAGGATCTAGGCTCTTGGGAGCCAGGGACCATTTTTGTTTTTTATCAGGGACTCCCTGAAGATTTCCAGAGGGCTTGGTGTGTAGCTGGTGCTCAATAAATGCTTGTTGAAAAGATGAATAAGTACTAATCATCTTTTCTAAGTCTGAATTATTTCTTATTTTCAAGAGAAACTATTTTAAAGTCAAGAGGACGTGGGTTTTTAATCCTTTTCTGCCATATGCTAGGTTCTGTAATTCTATAATTATATTCCATATTCATTATATATATATATATATATATTTTCCTCCCTAAATTCTTTAATTCTATAATCTGGGACTGGGTAATTCCACTCTCTGGACCTTGGTCTCTTCTTCTGTAAAATTAGGGTTGAAATCAATGATCCCTAAATTTCCTTCCTCTTCTAAGTCTATGATCTTATGCCATTATTTGGAGACTGTGAGTAAGGCGTAGGACACAGAGGTTATGCAGCAGACAGAAGACTCTACTTACTATCTGTGCAACCATGGCCAAGTCACTTCCTTTCTCTGGGCCTCAGTTTCCTTATTTACAAAGTGAAGGGATTGCCTAGGTGACTTTATAGGCTTCTTCTATGTCTATAATTCTATGTCTATAATGTGTCACGAATTCTAAGACCCAAGGACTACCCAGATCCCAGAGACAGCATGCCATCCTCCTGGAAAATGGAAACTGCTCACTTTGGGGAAAGCTCAGTCCTCACAAAAAATATGGGTTTGAGTAGGTTAAACATGTCAGGAGCACTGTGGTCTCCTTCTGAATCTCAAAAAATGGTACAAAAATTCTCCCCAAACACCATTTAGGCAGCAGAAGGTGAAGTGGATAGAGTGCTGGGGCTTGGAGTCAGGAAAACCTGAGGTCAAATCCAGCCTCAGCCTCAGACCTAGTTGGATAACCCAGAGGTCTGCCTCAGTTTCCTCAACTGTTAAATGGGGATAATAAACATCTACCTTCAGGGTTGTTGTGAGGATCAAATGAGATAATATTTGTAAAAGTGCTTAGCACAGGGCCTGGCATGCAGTAGGCACTAAATAAATGCTAACTTCCCTTCTTCCCTTCCCCCACTTTATTTGACAAATTCACAAGGATGCATAAAGGAAATTCTATATGTGCCAGCTTTTCAGGCAAGTAGCTTAGAGGGGGCCTTGTCAGGGAAATTATTTCTTCTCTAAATTCTTTCTGAATTTTACATTTGAACAGGAAGGTGCTGAATTCCTGAGTCTGCTTTTTAAAAAAGTTTGTATTTAGAATAATTTCACTGCCTGCTTCCCCCCATAGTTCAATACAAACAAATATTTCTGGCTCTGTATCTGGATGACACTATTCTAGGCATCATGAGGGGACACTGCCCTGCGTGAGACATTCTCTGCTCTTGAAGAGCCAGTATTTTCCCTGGGAAGAAGGACATATGAAGCAGGTGAGAAATGACTCCAGAAAGTAACATTTTGATTAATTAAAAGGGAAAGTTGAGTGGTATGGACAGGATATGCAGGAAGAGATCAGAGCTGGGAATTCACATGGAATGATCTTAATGACCTCATGTAATATTAAAAAAATTTCTTTCTTTTGATAACCAAGGCTGGTAGCCATTAACAAACTAGCATGTGAATAACAGTTTGTTGCATTTTCTTGATAAAGGCATAGACAGCACCCTTATCACATTTGCAGATGACGCAAAAACTGGGAGGGATGGTGAACATATTGGATGACAGAATCAGGATGTAAGAAGGCTTTGACGAGCTACAGCAATGGGCCAAATCTAGTGATACTGTATTTAACTGGAAAAATGTCTTTAAATGGGAAAAATCTTACTTAACACTTGATTAAAAAAATATCATTCACAAGGACAAGGTGGTGAAGGCATGATTTGTCAGCAGTCCATCCAAAAAAGATCTGAGGGCCTTAGTAGACTACAAGCTTTATATGAGGGAGCTGAGATATGGCAGCTGAGAAAGCAAATGGGACTGCATTAAGAGAGGCAGAGTATTCAGGAAGAAGGTGATAGTAACCCTACTGTAATTGCCCTGACTGGACTGCACCTGAGATATGGTGTTTCATTCTGGCCACCTCGTTTTAGGGCATTGGTAAGCTGGAGGGTGTGCAGAGGAGGCAGCCAGGACAGAGAAGGGCTTTGAATCTGTAACAAGGGCTGAGCAAGTTGGAGGAATTGGGGATGGTTAGTGTGGAGAAGAGAAGGTTCAGGGTGGGACATGATAGCTATGTTCAAGCGTTAGAAGGACTGTCTTTTGCAAGAGGAGTTGGATTTGTTCTGTTTGACCTCACAAAGCAGAACCAAGAAACAAGGAAGGCCCAAGCAACAGATTTAGGTTTGCTATAGAAAACCAGAATGAATAGAGGGAGCTGTACCAGCTGGAACGGGCTGCCACTGGAGGTGGCGGGTTCCCCCTCATGGGCAATCTTCATGGAAAGGCAAAAAGATCCCTTGTTGGCACTGTTGCCGAAGGAATTCTCTTTCAGGTCTGGATTGGGTTTCCAGGCCTCTGAGGGCCTGCTCAGCTCTGAGATGATACTGTTGCAATGGTCTTTTCAGAGCTGAACATTCCAAGTTCATTATTCATTTTTATTTTGCTTGGCTACCACCTGGGAAAACGCTTCCGGTAAACGTGGATGCACCCACTCAGAGGCTGATCTAGTTTGTTTCATTTATGTATCTATGCATCTATGTTTCTATCTTTGTATCTGTCTTTGTATATATCTATGTATCTATCTTTGTATCTATCTATGCATCACCTATCTTTGTATATATCTATGTATCTATCTTTGTATCTATGCCTCTATGTATCTATCTTTGAATTTTTGTATTTATCTATACATCTATCTTTGTATCTGTCTTTGTATCTATCTATATATCTATCTTTGTATGTCTCCGTATCTTTCTATTTTCTTTCTACTGATCCATCTTTCTATATGTCCATCAATCTCTCTATCTCTATCACTTTCTCTATTTAGCTATTACTCTGTCTCTTTCTATAGCTATCTCTCTTTCTCTATCATCTATTGCTCTTGTGTTTTTATATTGCCTTCATTTCCAAATATATCTAATTAACCAATAAACATTTATTAAGCACCTACTATGTACCAGGCACCGTGCTAAGCACTAGAGATACAAAAAGTGGACAAAGACAGTCCCTGCCCCCAAGGATCTTACAATCTAAAGGCGAAGACAACATGCAAACAAATATTTACAAAGCAAGCTATAAACAGGATAAACAGACTATTTAACAGAGGGAAGGTACTTGAATGAAGAGGCCTTGGGGATGGCTTCCTCCTTCTTTCCCTTCTCAATCCCTTCGCAGAGAGCCGTCTCTTGCAACAAAGAATGAAAAAGAACAACAACAAAAAAAAGGGCCATTAGCAATACCATCATGCACATGGACTGAACCCAACTATATAGGCCTATTCAGCACCCATAGTCTCCTACCTCTGCTAAGAAGGGAGGGAGGAGCATTTCCATGTTAATTCTTCAGTATTAGGTGTAGTCATTAATTACACAATGGGATTTTATTGTTGTTCTATCATTGTGTATGTATATTTTTTCTGTCTCGTTTCTTTCACTCTGCATCAGTTCACTCAAATCTTCCCCAGGCTTCTCTGAATTTTTCAGATACATAATTTCTTACAGTATAGTCACATTTCAAGCCATTTCCCAATTCACTTCTTTTAAAAATTTGAATATATTTTAATTTATTTCATTAACTATTTCCCATTTATATTTTAAAATTTTTTTAACATTTACTTTTTAAAAATTTTGAGTTCCAAATTCTCTCCCTCCCTCTGGCTTACACCCCACCCTTGAGCCCTGTGATATTAATGGACATTTCACTTCTTTTGGAAAAGTTTTATTGATGCCTTTTTGAAAACAACACAGCCATCACCCTCTCTGCCCCATATTGCCTTGCACTGAATTGTCCTTCTGAAGGGAGAGAGTCATTGACAGCAGCTGGCATCATATGCAACATTCTGCACCCGTGGCCCCCCACCAAGGACCTTCATCCCTCATTTTACAGATGAGGAAACTGAGGCCCAGACTAGGGAAGTGATGAGACTTGTCTAAGATCACACAGGCAGGATGAGTGGGAACTGAGATTTGAACATTTACCCTATGCTTTCGAACCCAATGCATTATTCAGGGCACTACCCTGCCTCCCAAGAAAGTGTGTCCTCTCATCTGCTCTCTGGGATTTAGACTGGTCACCATTGGCTGCTATTCATTATTATTTTTATTCCTATTGTCATTGGGCATCTGGTTCTTCTGGCTCTACTTTCTTTGCTCTGCATCCACACAAATTTTTCCACACTTCTTTAGAACCTCCTAGCTCATTCTCTTTTACATTACAATAGGATTCCACTTAATTCGTCAAACATAGTCATCCCTCCAGTCGATGGACTTTTCAGGTTTTTCTTTTTTGGGGGGAGGGATATGCTACTATGAATATTTGGGCTCCAGTTTCATTTATAAAACAGCTTTCATTGCCCCCTGATTTAAGCAAGGAAGATCACAGACCTCATATGTACAATTGCAGCCAGGATGACTTAAAGGGATCCCCAGAGGGACATTTAAATAAATGCTTTCTTTTTCCCATCTAACTCACTGACATTGATGGTTTCTGAGGGGAAATGTTGCTCTGGCCTCCAAACAAAAGAGCTGAAGCCTGCGCTCCTCTCTTGGGAGAGGGAGCTGTTCTGTAGCTGCCTGGTGGAATAGACATCATTCAAACGGACAGTGTGGTCTCAGGCTGCATGGGCCAGGAGAGAGGAAATGCTTCTTCCAAACTCTGCCCTGATCAGACCACCAGCTGGAATAGTGGGCTCAGATTCAGGCAAACTAGGAAAGACTGTGATTAAACTGCAGAGCTTGGGGCAGGGGATGGGGAGGAGGGTCACCAAGATGGTGAATCCAGGGCCTTAGAATCGCCATCTGAGTCAGCTATTTATTAAGCATTGGTGAAGCTGTCACTGTATGCTAAGCATTGGGGATACAAATGTCACCTGGAAGAGAAATTACCTTTGTCCTATTTTATCTTAGGGGGGTCCAGAACTGGGAATAACTGCTGGAAGTTGATAAGAGGCACATTTAGGGCTTCCTGAAAAAATAATTGTAAGCATCAGAGTTACCCAGCAGTGGAAAGGGTTCAGGGGTACTGCTGGTAAATGTTTTACAACCAGCCTGTCATAAAAAAAAATAAGATACACACATGTGCTTAAGTCTAGACAATCAACCAAATAATAAATGAAGCCTGATCTGGGGCAGCTGCAGATGTCTGAGGTTGTAAATCCTTCACGAGCTGCTTAGAAGTGTCTTTAGCACCTGGATGCGTTGCCTTGGGTAGCAGTGGAATCCACCTCACTGGTGATCTTCAAACGAACGCCTCCAGTTGGCAGAGAGGTTCTTGTCCAGGTATGGTTTGATTCTATTTCTAAAAGGATCCCTTCCAGCTCTGAGATTCTGAAATTGGGAGTTGGGTTTCAGATAGACATTCAAGCAGGCTCTCCATAGGGACATGGGGAGGATTTTTACAAAATCTCAGGTTCCATGCCATCCCTTGGTGAGTTGGGAGAGAAAAGGTGGAGAAATTGGTAGTGCTGTCCATAGGGGTGTAAAGGTCTACTGCCAGTTGGAAATGGTTATGAGAAATGGGATGACCTGGGCCAGGCCAGGGCTCTCTCTATAGACGGTAGGAACTGTCTTGCTGAGTCTCTGGTGGGATTTAAATTCATGCTGGTTTTGGAGCCAGAAGACCTGGATTTCAATGATGATTCTGCTACTGATTTCCTGTGTGACCTTGAGCAAGTAATTTTCCCTCTCTGGGCTTGATTTCCTCATCTGTAAAATGAGATTGGACTGACTGACCTCGAAAGTCTTTGATCCCAAGGAGGAGAAAAGGGGCTGGCAAACCCTGAGGAGGCCGAGGGCGTGACTTCCATTCAGGGAAAGAGCAGGAAGACAACAGCAGCTGGAAGGCAGGACAGGCTGAAGCAGGTGGCTCTGGGCTTTGGAGGCTATGCAGCAGCAGCAGCTGGGGAATGGGGCTGTCTAGGGCAGCTGTGGCCATACCTTGGGAGGGTGAGAAGAGCTTGTCTGAGGAGGGGGCTGCTGTGAGGGCCGGCAGCCCCGCAGTAAGGGAGGCTAGAAAGGATGAAAGAGAATTAGGTGGCAGGTGTGGTAGGCCCCAAACTTAAACAGCTTGAAAGCCAAGGGAGAAAAAAAAGCCTAGGAGGATTTCAGTCTCCCTCTCCCTCTCCCTCGTCCTCCCTCTCCCTCTCCCTCGTCCTCCCTCTCTCTCTCCCTCGTCCTCCCTCTCTCTCCTCTCCTCTGGTTCTCTCTCTCTCCACCCCTTCCCTCTCTCCCTCATCCTCTCTGTCTCCCTCCCCTCCCCTCCTCTTGTTCTTTCTCTCTCTCCCTCTCTCCTTCTTCTTCTCTCTGTCTTTTTCTCTCTCTCTGTCTCTCCCCCCCCCTTCTCCTCTCCTCTCCCCTCTCTCTCCCTGACATTTCATCAGGCTACTGAACTCAGTATGGAAACTCCCTCCACTGAGAATACAGTTTTAAAATTCGTATGGTTACAAATGAAACTGATTACCTGGAAATGCAGCGATTAAAATTTTTTTTCAAAAAAATCTCAGGGAGCCCAGCTTCAGAACCTTGTTAGAGAGTTTCTGGGATGAGGAGGTATGTGCCCCGGCCTCAAAGGCAGGTATGGACCCCAAGTTTTCCAATACTGGACACGAGCACTCCATCTTCTAGGACATGGTGCCCCTCAGACTGTGGATACAGGGCCAAAATGTTGGCCAAGGGGGGCAGCACTTCCTTTTGGTCATTGCTGGCTTACCCAAGAGAGTAGAGGCTGTGTTTAATTATGGAGCATGGAGCCTGGTTGCCTCCCCAGCCCTTGAGGTTCTGATTCCTCAGCTTCTCAAGTATCAGAAGGCCACCAGGAGATGTCTGTATCTTTTGGGGAGGAAGCATAACCTCAGTCTCCACTGGGGTGACCTCATGAGTCAGACTCTGGGAGAGGCTGCCAGACTGGGCCCATGCCTTGCTGTTCACAGTGCACTTTAGAGACACAGCCCTTCTCTTGGTTCTGTTGGGCTGAATGACCTAAAAAGAATTGACCTCTGTCTCACCTTCTCTACTGCCAGGCTCTGTTCTCTCCAGCCTGAGAAACTCATTTACTAATAGGGTGTGTGCCAAACTCAGGTTAGCCCTGAATCAGCAAATATGTGCCTATGATGAACTGTTAGTATGTAGGCTGGGCCCCTGCAATGAAGAAGGCTTGCTTTTGGTTTCAAGACATCCACAGCTCCAGTGACTTGTCCTTTGGGCAAGAAGATATATGAGTTCTGCCCCAGTAGTCTAACTCCCCATCTCCCCCCACCTCCTCCAAATCCTGCAGACTGAGGTTAAGTGATTTGTCCAAGGTAACACTGAGTGTAAGTGCCTGAAGTAGGATTTGAACTCAAGTCTTCTCAATTATAGGCCTGCTCTCCCAGAGGGATCATAGAACATAAACTGAACTGGGAGGATCCTTACTTAGAACATAGAATATTGGAACAAAGAACATAGGCTATCAGAACTGGGAGAGACTTTAGAACATAGAATGTTAGAAGAAAGAACGTGGAATGTTTGAGCTGGGAGGGCCCTTAGAACATAGAATTTTAGAAGAAAGAACGTGGAATGTTCGAGCTGGGAGGGACTTTAGGATGTAGAATGTCTGAGCTAGGAGGGCCCTTAGAACATAGAATGTTAAAAGAAAGAACATGGAATGTTTGGGCTGGGAAGGCCTTTAGGATGTAAAATGTCTGATCTAGGAGGGCCCTTAGAACATAGAATGTTAGAAGAAAGAACATGGATTGTTTGAGCTAGAAGGGCCTTTAGGATGTAAAATGTCTGAGCTAGGAGGGCCCTTAGAACATAGAATGTTAGAAGAAAGAACATGGATTGTTTGAGCTGGGAGGGCCTTTAGGATGTAAAATGTCTGAGCTAGGAGGGCCCTTAGAACATAGAATGTTAGAAGAAAGAACATGGATTGTTTGAGCTGGGAGGACTCTTAGGAACGAGAATGAGAAATAGCTGAGCTCTAGGGACCTTGGGCTCTTCTATTCACAGAATCACAGATCTAGAATTGCTGGGGACCTTAGAGGTCATTGGGTCCAACCCTCTCATTTCATAGATGAAGAGACTGAGGCCCAGAGAGGCCGGGTTCAGCCTGCTCAAATTTGCGGGTGAGAGAGCCGAAGTCCTACATTAACATCATGACCTGTCCAGGGTCACACAGGAAGTAGGAGCTGGGATTTGGATCCAAGGTTGCTGACCATAGCTTTAGGTCCCCTTCAGCTCAGTCCATCCAGAGTGGAGAACAGGAGCCCATATGAGCTTTGTAGAATATGCCACTAGCCTCAGAGGTGAGGCAGGGTGGTGGTGACGGGTATCTAAGGGAAGGGGCAAGGACAGAAGCCATTCAAAGAGCGTCTTCCAGATGGTTTCTCACAGGGGCCTCTGCCCTGGGCTGTTGATAATGAACATGTGGGCCATTGGAAAGCTTCATAACAACTGTGTATTCCCTGGGGGTCTTGTGGGAAGTGGAGAGACATGAATGCTTTAATTAATTGGGGAATAAGATACGGAGATACAGAAGATGACCCAGCTGTGTCCAGCTAATGATTTTAAAGTGTAAGAGCTTCCAGTAAGGGGGGGGTGGGGAAGAAGTGTCCATGTGTCTTCAAAGAGGGTAGGCGCCTTGGACTAGTGGATAGAGGGTGGGTTGCACAGTTAAAAAGACCTGGCTTCAAGTCGTGGTTCTGACCCATCCTGTCTATGGGACCCTGGTCAAGTCACTTCATCCCAATTGCCTAACCAAAAAACCAAAACAAAACAAGAAAACCTAACCAAACAGAACACAAAGTGCTTTAGAAACGACAGCTATTTATGTTAGTCTGAGCCTGTGACTTCAGCCAGGCCCAAGCTCTGGGTGAGGAAATGGCCTCTCCCCATGTTGCTCAGCAACTCAGGTCATACAGATCAAGGGCTTAAAAGCAAGCTTGGAGGCCATTGTGTCCAACCCCTCGTTCTACAGATGAGGGAACTGAGGCTGAGGGAGAAGTGAGATGCCTGAGGTTATGTGGGTAGTACATGCTAGAGGCAGGATTTGAATCCAGGTCCTCTGACACCAGAGCTAGTGCCATCCCTTATTAATGTTGGAGATTCAGAGTTGCCTGAGGGTCCTTAGAGGTTAGATGTTGTTGTTGTTTCAATCACGTCTGGCTCTTTGTGACCCTATTTGGGGTTTTCTTGGCAGAGACACTGGAATGGTTTGCCATTTCCTTCTCCAGCTTATTTGACAGATGGGGAAACTGAGGCAAACAGGGTGAAGGGACTTGCTCAGGGTCACACAAAATTTATTGTTCAGTTGTTTCAGTCATACCTGACCCTTCATGACCTCATTTTTGGGGGCATTCTTGACAAAGATATGGGCGTAGTTTGCCATTTCCTTCTCCAGTTCATTTTACAGATGAGGAAACTGAGGCAAACAGAGTTAAGTCACTTGCCTAGAGTCACACAGCTAGTAAGTGTCTGAGGCCAGATTTGAACACAGGAAGATGAGTCTTCTTGATTCTAGGCGCCACTAGGCTCCACCTAGCTGCCCAAGGTTAAATGACTTGTCCTCATTCACTCAGATAGAATCAGAGTCAGAATTTGAACCCAGAACTCCAAGACCTGCCCTCTCTTCACTATAGCACAGTGCTGATTATGATCTAGCCCTCTGGTTCCTTTAGCATACGGAACTCTCCTCCAAAGGTGAGTCTCCAAAGACAACCAGCTTTTCTACAACTCAGAATCTTGGGAATTTGTCTGAAGCCCTGAAAGGTACATATCTGCCCTGGGTCACACAGCTCATATTTACCAAAGGTAAAACTTGTATTCACTCCTTGAGACCCTTAGCTGCTATGTCATGCTGCCTTTGTGAACTCTGATCATTAGCCTTCTTTTGGGTGGTGACAACAGGATGGAGTTGGCCTAGAAACCCAGGTCCATACACTGCTTCTGACATACTTGCTGTGTGATTCTAGGCAAGTCAGGATATGTCTCTAAGCCAGGAAATTGTAAAGAAGATGCCAACCTGTGTTAGTAAAAGGGGTTTCCTCATCTGGTTGTTCCCTATAATGGTGAAATCCCAGGTCCTACCCAGTCCTCATTATTATTATTTCAATCTGATTGGGAGTTAAAAGACATTTAGGTATGTGTCTGGCCAAGGGAAGCAGCAGAACATTTCTTCTCCTCGAGATGGTCTTCAAGCCAGAGGCTGACAACCACCTGTTGGGTGCATTACGGTGGGAATTCCTTTGGTGCATGGGCTGAACCAGATGGCCACTTCAATCCCTTCTGATCTCCCTGACATTACCAACATCATGGCCAAGCTTCATTCAAAGGCCTCTCCTCCACCTCCCTCCCATTCACTGCTGGGGAAAGGGCTGAGCTGGGATGGTAGTAGAGCCTCACCTACTGCTTATTTCTGCCAGACCTCTTTCTGGAAGATCTGAGTTCTCTGATTGTGGTACCCTGGAGCCTTGGCATTAGGGAGTTAATGCAGAACTCACACCTGTGCTGAACTTGGTTTTGGTGTCTCAGAGGAGGGAAGGGCTGTGTACTTTTGATTCTCTAACTATATTGACCCTTTTATGGCTGCTGCTCTCCACATAGGATGTGTGATGGTGAGGAGGGAGCCTTCCCGGCATTAGGAGGGCAGCCAATGAAAGAGAGATACATTGGGAAATTGTTGTTCGTCCTTCGTTTTTGAAGAAGGCCAATGCCATCACATCTTGACTTGTGCATGGAGTGGATTTAAGTGAGACAGAGTTGCACAAATAGTTTTCCAAAGAAGGAAGAGACACCTATATTAAGAACACTCCTGGGGCAGCTGGGTGGTGCTGTAGATAGAGCTGTGGCCTTGGAGTCAGGAGGTCCTGAGCTCAAATCTGGCCTCAGACACTTGACACTTACTAGCTGTGTGACCCTAGGCAAGTCACTTAACCCAATTGCCTCACCGCCCTCCCCCTCCAAAAAAAAGAATACTCCTGAGAGGTGATATTGCCAGTCAAGAAGATCTGGATTCCCCTTTCCATTCTTACACTTCAATCAATCAAACAATCAAAATGTATTTATTCAATTTCTTACTCTGTGCCAGGCACTGTGTTAATTGATGGCGATAAAAAGACAAAACAGCGACAGTCCCTGCCCTCAGGGAGATTACTTTCTACTGGGGTGGAAGGGTTATTCAACATGTTCACAGTTAAGCAGATATAGGATTTTAATTTTTAACCAAGTCTGTGATTTCACTGGAGTAGGAATCCTCAGGTAAGGAACCTTCTCTGACAGTCTCTCTGCAACTTAAGAGCAGCTAGGTAGTGCAGTGGACAGAGTGGTGGGCTTGGAGTGAGGAAGACCCATTTTCCTGAGCTCAAATCTGGCCTCAGACACTTACTAAATGTGCTACCTTGAGCACGTCACTTCACTGTATTTGCCTCAGTTTCCTCATCTGTAAAATGAGCTGGAGAAGGAAATGGCAAACCACTCCAGTGTCTCTGCCAAGAAAACCCTGAATGGGGTCACGAAGAGTCAGACACCACCAAACAACGAAGTCTTAGTGCAGAGGTGCTTTACCTGGAGGTAAAAATGGGGCAGGGGGGAGTGTCTCAGGAGAGACTGTGAGGGGTCTGTGAGCTTAGACAGGAAAAAAATAATTATACCTTTGTCTTCACTGTAATCCAGTTCCTTTGTAATCCTATCTATTATTTTATACATGGAAAATATGACAATAAAAAGGAATCTGGGGGTCCCCTAGAGTGCCCAAGGGGTCGGGACATGAGAAAGGATGAGAATCCCAGCCTTGTGGAGGTCCTTGGGTGTGTGCATGGAGGAGAGATTGTTTGACTTGCCAGGGTCACATAGCTCAGAGGACTGCACGCTGAAGTTTAGAAGGCCCTGCAAAGGCCATATAGTGTCAGCCTTCTCATTCGACAGAAGAGGAACTGAGTCCCAGGGAGGTGAGGGGATTGCCACACAGCTAGTATATGTCTGAGATTTGAGGTGAGATTTGGGCCCACCTTCCTGTTTTATTTGCTATGCCAATCTCCTCTCAGTGGGACTTGGGCCTGACCTCAGAACAGGCCATGTCAGAGCTGGGAAAGGCCTTAGAGCAGGGAAAGGCAGAGCTGGGAGGGGCCTTAGAACAGGCCATGTCAGAGCTGAGAGGGGCCTTAGGACAAGGGATGTCAGAGCTGGGAGGGTCTTTAGAACATGAAATGGCAGAGCTCAGAGAGGCCTTAGAACATGGAATGGCAGAGCTTGGAGGGGCCTTAGAACAAGGGATGTCAGAGCTGGGAAAGGACTTAGAACATGGAATGGCAGAGCTGGGAGGTGCCTTAGAACAGGGGATGGCAGAGCTAGGAGGGGCCTTAGAATATGGAATGGCAAGGCTGGGAGGGGCCTTAGAACAATGTGTAATTGTAGGTTCAGAGCTGTAAGGGACCTCAAAGATCATCTAGTCCAACTTCATCATTTTACAGGGGAGGACACTGAGGCCAGGGAGGTGAAATGGCCAGGGTCACACGGATCGTGTCAGAGGCCGGGCACCGAATAGCAATCAATAAACATTTATCAAGTGCCTACTCTGTGCCTGGCACTGTGCTAAGTACTGCATATACACAGAGGCAAAAGACAGCTCCTGCTCTCAAGGAGCTTCCAGTCTAACAGAGGAGACAACATGCAAACAAATATGTGTGAACAAACTCTACATGAGCTAAATAGGAGATGATTAACAGAGGGAGGGTTAAGAGGGCTGGGGAAGGCTTCCTGTAGAAGGAAGGGTATTAGCTGGGACGGAAGGACAGCCAGGGAGGTCAGTGGTCACAGCAGAGGAGGAAGAACATGCCAGTCATGAGGGACAGCCTGAGAAAATGTGTGGAGCTGAGATGGAGTGAAAAGCCAGGATATGCCCATAAATACAAAATCAATACAAATGTATCTGGGGGCTGGGCAGGACTGAGGGTGGGAATCAGGAGAAACTTCTTGAGGAAGGTAGACAAGACAGTGGCTCTGAGTCTCAGTTTGCTCATCTGTAAAATGAGGATGAATGAACAAAAGAGCATTTATGTGGGATAATCCTAGCGCCATCCCTACAGGGCAGGGGTAAGGATCACTTGAGGTGGGTTGCAAGGGGCCTCACCATAGAAAAGAAAGTTGTTATTCATAAGCTCTCACTCTTAGGTGAAGAGGGAACTACATGCTTTCCAAAATAATCAACTGAGGCAGAGAAATCCATATATTCATTCTGACATATACATGGGGCCAGGTAGATGCAGGATACTATTCTACTGTGGGTGTTATGGGAAATAGGACCCAAAATAAAGATATTTCCCTGTTTTAGAGGAGAGAGCATCCTTCTAGTAACCCAATCCCTTTTATGACCCCAAGAGATCTGGTGGGGGAAGGAGTGCATCTCCTTATGAGTCAATATTGTGACCAGGTGGGTGATGGGTCTCGGGCTTCTTTAAGAGGCCTCTGGGGGTGTGGTGGAGGGATGCTGCATCTGGAGTCAGGAAGGCTTGAGTTCAAATCCAGTCTCAGATACTTACTAGCTGTCGGACCCTGGGAAAGTTACTTAATCTCTCTGGGCCTCAGTTACTTTATCTGTAAAATGGGGCTGATAACGGCACCTACCTTGCAGGGATGTTGTAAGGACCAAATGACATAGTATTTATAAGGCACTTTGCAAACCTTTAAAGCCCTATAGTTACAGGTTTTGTTGTTCAGTCATTTTCAGTCATGTCTGACTCTTGATGACCCCATTTGGGGGAGAGGGGTTTTCTTGGCAAAGATACTGGAGTGATTTGCTATTTCCTTCTCCAGCTCATATTACAGATGAGGAAACTAAGGTAAACAGGGTAAAGTGACTTGCCCAGGGTCACATAGCTAGTAGAGGGGCTGAGGCCAGATTTGAGAGGGAATGCTTCAAGATTCTAATGCAACCCAGGAACTTCTTTTTTCGAGGGGACACCAGGAGCTATCATATGGTCCCTCTGCCTCCACTGGGAATCTTAGGGTTTAGAGACAACTGGTGACACAGTGGACAGAGCACTGAGTCTAAACTCAGGAAAGCTCAAGTTAAAATCTGGCTTCAGACACTTAACCAGCTATATGACCTTGGGAAAGTCATAACCTCTGCCTCAGTTTCCTCATCTGTAAAATAGGGATGATAATAATATCACCTATCCTTCAGGGTTGCTTTATTCTCTTCTCCATTCCCCGCCTTTCCCTCAATTATCAACAAGCATTTATTAAATGCCTGCTATGTGCCAAGCACTGTGCTGAGTGTACAAAGACAAAAGGGAGAATGCGACAATGCCTGCCTTCAAGGACCTTATAGTCTAAACTCATCACAGCATTGTCCTCTTTACTTAAAAAAAAAAGTCACTTTAGATAGCATCCCTCTTTCTACCCTACCCAGCATGCTGCTCTAAGTACCTGCTTACCAGGCTTCCCCATACCCAGTTCTGCAGGGGAAAGTCTATTGCAAGATTCTCAAAGAGTTTACCCATGTCCTCCTCTGAGCTGAGACTGTACTCTTAGGATGTTTCCTCCCAAACCCAGTAAGCTCCGCCTATGGTGACTAATCTTATTTCTAATGGGAGCCATGACTTCAGTAGCAGTGGGATGGAGCTGCCTAAGGCCCCTCTGCCTCCTCTACTGGGCACCCGGGCATAGAGGCAGGCAAGCTGGCACCCTGCTCCTCAGGCTGGGTAGTTACCCAGGAAAAAAAACGATTCTAAGCCCTCTATTGAACTTTATTTGACTAGCCACTGAAACCCAGTTCCAGGCAGAGGCAGGGGCTTCCAAATGACTGGCACCTTCCCCACCCCTACCTCTTTTAACTGCTCCTTTCTGCCAACAGGCTCAGACCTTTGAGCTGTGCTCCCATCCTACCCCACCCCACCCCACCCTATAAAGAAGAGACTTCTCTGGCAAATTTCAGGTGACTCATCCCAATGCCCCATCATGTTTGCTTTTAGGGACTTTGGTTTCCAAATAGCTTTTCTTTTATTTGCATGCCCCTCTTCCCTTTCCTTAAACACATCCCCAGCCCAAGTCCTTTGCAGCAGGAATAACCCATATTGAGCAAACAGGAATGAATCATGGCTGTGGCTTACCCCTCCTCTGCCCTCCACCATGGGGGCGGGGGTCACCTGAAATGTTTCCAGGAGAAGGGCTGGAGCATCCTGGGAAAAGACATGGATCTGAAGGATGGGGAGGAGGAGGTGCTCAGATTTCTTCTTTGGGGGCAACTTGGATGACCCCTCCCTGGAGGGTCCAGGGGCCTGCTGCCTCCTGCCAGGTAACCCTCAAGCACCTCCCTTAAGGGGAGGAATGAACGGGCTAGGCCTCCAGGGATCAGCCCAGGCAAGACTGGACTCGCTGCTAGATTGACTCTCCAGTGGGCCCCAGGAAGGTGGGGGTGTGGGCTGATTGGCCAGTGAGGAGCACCTGAGGGGACCGGGCCCCGGTCATGCCCAAAGGGGTTGTGCGTGCGTGTGTGTGTGTGTGTGTGTTGTGTGTGTGTGTTGTGTGTGTGTGTGTGTGTGTCTTTCTGTACAGAGCAGCTTGCAGAACCTGCTTGCTGAGTTCTCCCTGCCCCCAATCCCAATCTGCCTTTTCATTCTCCATTTCCATAGCTGCCTGTGGCCCTTGGACTTTTGAAATCCCTTGTTTCCCTCCAGGCTCTGCTTCAGAAGGCCTTTCCTGATCTCAGGGGAGAGATGATTGGGGTTCAGAGAAGGGGGAGGGACATCTGTGGGACAGAGACCCACTCTCAGCCTTACTGTCCACTTTTTCTCATTGCCCACCCTCAGGAACCAGTGGGCAAAGCCACCAGTAGACAGTAACTCCCTCTGTGGAATCAGGAAGTGGAGAATTTCTCCTCCTTTCCTATGGGTCACTTAAGTATGGAAGACCCCCATTTGCCAGAGGAATCCTTTCCTGATCCCCCCCCCATCCCTTGTATTTACTTGGTCTTTGTTTCATTTATATGCATGTGTGTTGTCTCATGGAATAGAAGTGCCCTTAGGGCAGACACAGTTTGAATTTTGTCCAAGTATAGTTCTGGCACATAAGTAGGTCCTTAATCAATTCTTATATAACAGGGGATAATCAGAAGACTCACTCGCTGAAATCTTCTGGAGGAGAGCACTTTCTATGCAGCTCATTGTCTTCTGGCTCTGGACTTCCCTATTACTGTGGATGGCGCCCTCATCCTCCCCCTCACCCAGGCTCACAATCTCACCATCACCTTGACTCCTTACTCATATTTGTCCCACATATCCAATCGATTGCAGAATCTCATTGTTTGTCTGGCCACAACATTTCTAGAATACTTCCCCTTCAAAAAGGAAATGCTAGACCAGTTATTTCTGGTGACCTCCCTACCCCAACCCCCCAAATTACTTTTGTCTTTATCTGTCTTTGTGCATATTGTCCCTAATATAGTAGAATGTAAGCTCCTTGAGGGCAGAGTCTGATTCATTTTTGTTATTATATCTCCAGTGCCTGGAACATAGGAGGAACTCTAGATAAATGCTTTGTTGAATGGATGAATGGGTGGATGGGTGGATAGACAGATGGATGGATGGATGGATGGATGAATAAGTGATGGAGATCACTGTCTAAAAAGCTTGAGCTAGATAGATGTAGGCGTGGGGAACCTGCCACCTTGAGGCCACATGTGGCCTCATAGGTCCTGAGGCCTTTTGACTGAGTCCAAGTTTTACAGAACAAATCCTTTTATTAAGGAGATCTGTTCTGTGAAGTTTGTATTCAGTCAAAGGGCTGCACTTGAGGACCTAGAGGGCCCCATGTGGCCTCAAGGCTACAGGTTCCCCACCTCTGAAAGGTTAGCATTGCCTTTCTGGCTTTCTTTCCTGCTTGAGAGAAGGTCATGATTTTTGACACTATTAATGAGAGAAGAGGTGAATGGACTGCTTGGTACTATATAGAACATACTACAGAATAAATAGTAAATACAAGGGCTACTGACTGGATCATTTGACTTTGCCATTGAGCAGGATCGAATCTACCAAAAAAGTGACGCTGATTTTAAGTAGTGATTTTAAAAAAAGAAAAAGGAAAGAAGAGGAGAATGGAAGAGCTTAATCATGGGAATAATAAGATAATAGATTTAGATCTGAAAGGGACCTTAGTTCAACCCCCTCATTTTGCTGATGAGGAAACTGAGGTCTGTGAGTGGTCACTGGGCTGTAATCAGGTCCTATGACTTCATGTTCAGGGCTAATGAGACACGAATAAAAGAAATCTTTCGAGTTGCTGTCCTGAGCTCTGTAATGGGGCCAGGGACCAGGACCCTTTTGCTTTTGTTTACTTGCTCACAGTCCCTTGGGTGTTTAGATTTGGGGTGCTTGGCAGGGAAGCATGGAGGATTCCTGGGAAAAGTGGTGGCTTCATTGGTTTTCACATAATGAGGTTAAAAACATTGATCCAATCTTCTGACAATCTTTTGGGCTGAATCAGAATTAGCATTCAAGGGGATTGAAGGAGGGTCATGGAATCATAGGATTTGGTATGGAAGGGAGCAAAGAAATCAACCCTTAGAAACCTTCTCTTGTTATTGTAAGCTCCTCTCTGGGCCAGGCAAGGGCAGCCTGGCAGGGCAGTGACCTCCTTCTGCCTGCAGGGGATGCCTTTTTCGATCAATAGACCACACCGGGTGAAGCTTCTCACACAGTGTCATTCACAGGTATGGAAAATGCTTGACCTCATCAGAGCTTTGCTGGGCAGGGCCTCCCAAGGGAGATTCCAGCTGCCACCCATTGTCTCTGGGCCAACTGGCTGCGTTAATAAAACAGAAGATGGCAGACTGGGTTGAGTAACAAAGACCTTAGAGCCAGCACCATACTCAGCAGGCTGCCAAGGGGAACTGAGTTCAGATACATTTTCAAGCTAGATAGATTGGCATGAATTCTCCCTCAGTCAGTTCTATGGAGATGTTCTATGGAGAGATAAATGATGTAACTCAGGGGCAGATGGGCTCACCATTCACGGGCACTGAGAGATGACTGGAGGGTAACTTGTGGAACTGATGTCCAGTGGACAACCTAAACTTGGTATGGCCCCAACTGAACTCATTATTTCCCCCCCAAACCCTCCCCTCTCCTAACTTCTATATTGCTATAGAAGTCAATACCATCCTCCCAGTCCCCAGGTTCCCAGCCTTCCTGATATCCTTGACTCTTTACTATCTCACTCCTCCCATATCCAATCATTCTAATGGCCTGTCAATTTTACCTTTGCAACATCTCATTCCTAACATGTGCCCTCCCTCTTCCCCTCCACCCTATCACCACCCTGGTGCAGGCCCTCATCACCTCATACCTGCTATTGCACTAGCTACTGCTGGGTCTTCCTGCCTCAAGCCTCTCCCCATTCCAGCCCATCCTCCATTCAGCTGCCAGTAATTTTCCTAAAGCATAGGTCCTGCCTACTCACTAAATTTCAGTGACTCCATATCACCTTCAGGGTCAAATACAAAATGCTCTGTTTAGAATTCAAAACCCTTTATAATCTGTAATCTCCTCCTACCTTTCCAGTCTCTTTACCCCTTCCTCCCCTATATCCAGTGACACCAGCCTCTAGCTGTTGCATGAACCAGGCCCTCCAGCTCTCAGCTCTGGGCATTCTCTCTGGCTGGGCTCATGCCAGGAATGCTCTGCTGAACTAACCTCACTTCTAGCCTGGGCAAGATAGGGAGACCCAGTATCAACCCCTACTCCCACCATGAGGGGCGGATTAGATGTTCTCAAAGGTCTTTGGGTAACCTTGGGCAAACCAGGGCACCATATTGGGTCTCAGTTTGCTCATCTGTAAGATGAAGGCATTGGACTAGATGACCTCTGTGGGGTTCTATGAACTGAAGCAGAGGCTGGCCCTCGGCTCCCAGCCTCCTCTGCCAAATACAAAGCCATTCTCTTCCTCTCTGTCTCTGTCTCTCTCCCCTCTCTGTGTGTGTGTCTCTCTGTCTCTCTCCCTCTCTCCTCTATATGTCTCTCTCTCTGTCTCTGTCTCTGTCTCTTTCCCTTTCCCTCTTAGAATCTCCAGTTCCCTGACAAGCTTCATTCCAGTACCACTTCCTACACAAGTCCTTAATTAGTCCCTCCACTTGTTAGGATTCTCCCCTCCCCCCATGACTTTTCATTTATTCTTTATGTAATTTGTATTTATATCATAGGGAAGTCACAAAACATTTGTGGAGATTACCTCCCTTCTTTCCACTGCCTGTGTATGACCATTTCCATGTACTGGAGGAGGGGAGGGCCCTGGCCCTTCTTAACATATGTGACTTAAGTAGGTGGTGAGGTAGATGGAGTGCTGAATCTTGGGTCAGGAAGACCTGAGTTTAAATCTTGCTTTAGACACTTTTTGGCTGTGTGATCTCAAGCAAGTCACTTAACAAGTCCTACCACAGGCTAGGCACTGTGCTAAGCTCTGAAAATGCAAAAAGAGGTAAAAGAAACTATTTCCTGTCCTCAAGGAGCTCATAGTAGATGGAGGAGAGGACACATTTGTATCCCCAGGGCCTCACACAGTGACTGACACCATTTTTAAAAAACTCATTCAGCTGAATGGAATTGAAGGCTCCCAATAAGTTTGCCCCATATGACTGCCCAGGGATAGGCTTTTCAGAACTAAAAATCTTGCCCTCAATACTCAAGTCATTAATATGCATTTGAATATTCAGAGCTGCTGCATGGATGACTGAGCATTTTCATACTATTTCACATGGAAATTTCAAGTTTGTTATCCCGACCTTGATTTATTTTTAAACATGTCCCCATGTAAGAGTAGAACATCCAGGCAAATTCCCCTTTTTTTAGCCTGAGCACAGTCAGCTCTTGTTACGAAGCTCAGACGGCAGGGTGGGCTCCCATCGGGGCTTATTAGACCTGCCATCACAAGGTAGTTGGCCAGACGTACCCTGGGTTCACTTTAGGGTCCCAAGTGCAGGTCTACCCTAGCCATTCCAAGGTCCTTTTGACACCTCTTCTTGGGTCCTTTGTTTTTTGTTTTTTGTTTTTTTTTAATTTAAGCTAGGCAATGGGGTTAAGTGACTTGCCCAGGGTCACACAGCTAGTAAGTGTTATGTGTCTGAGGTTGGATTTGAACTCAGGTCCTCCTGAATCCAGGGCCGGTGCTCTATCCACTGCGCCACCTAGCCGCCCTCTGCTTGGGTCCTTTGGCTCAGATGGAAAGATGCCCAGTATAGGCCACCCACATAACCTCCCACTTGCTTTCTGAATTCTTCATGGTAAATTGGGACAATGGTGTTCACATCTGGATGGGTCATAGATTAAGCAAGAGAAACAGTTTCGCACAAAATACCAACAGATACTTGGTAAGACTTTGTATAATATATGTAATAGGGGTGATTAAGGAAGCTCCCCCAGTCTGCCG